TGGCAGACATATCTTTGAAATAATATTAATTATTTTATCAAAAATATGCGAAGTTCCTCACCATCTTTTCCTTCACCAATGAACATGCGATAAATGAGCACATAAAATTGCAATTAAAAACTTTATAAAATAAATATTTTAGAACACATTCTTAAGTCCCAAACTAAGCAACGTTTGTACTAGATAACTTATAAACATACTTAAACATACTGCTCAAACAACAAACACCCAACACAAGAAAAACACCATGTTCATCACAAAATATTTTTACGGCTCTGTTGTTTTGCTGAGCTATAAGTAGGCTAGTACTTCTGCAGTACTAATGGGTCGTCCCTACCCGGGTAGTGTCCACGGTCTCTTAGAAGATCAACGTAACTTTGTTTCTTATATTTCTGCAGTACGGTGAACGCGAACATAGAGGCTCAACCCCGCAATGGTTGGCGAAACATTTATTAATACGACAGTGTTAACCATACCAGACGGTTATCGTTCGCCGCCAAATAAACGTACTTATGCCAACATCTCAAATTATTATAAAAACCTAAAGAGCCAAATAAGCATTAATTTGGTTAGAAATATTAGAAAAATCAAGTGTGGCAACCTTAAAATTTAATGAATTCCTATCATGCCTACGTTGACTGAAAATGATTGTAGTAATAATAATAATAAAATATCTTTATTCACATAGACGCTGGTGCGTTCTTATGAAACGTCAAAATTTTACAAGAATATAATATTCTTATAATAGGACACCGAGCTATCACGGCTTCTATAACTCATATACCGAGTTTTTGGAACAAAGTTCCTTACGGCAGGCTTGGAGGGGATAGGGATTTTGCTGCGCGACCGAACTGAAAAAAATGTGTAGTAAAACCGTAAGAAAAAATCCGTGGAAAAGAGTGCATGGAATAAAACCGTTAAATGGGACGAGCGCAGGCGCGACAGTCGCATAATTTTATGTTGTCAAACAAAAATAAAGAGACATATTTTGTTATTTTAGTTGATAATTTGAATTACGATGTTTTTTTTTATTTTAAGTAATTTATTATTTCCTAAAATACTGAATTTCCTAAATACTTTCTTGTACTTTAATAAAAACTAATCAGCAAAATTATAAGAGAGAAATCAAGAAAACCTACATAAAATTGAGCACGATTTTTTTTGCAATTTGTGTCGATTCTACATTAGCCGAAGGAACTTCGTTCCTACCTGGTGTCCCACGACACCACATTATTTTTTTATTAAATAATGATATAAATGAAATGATCATTCTATACAACATCTTCTTTCTATAGGTACGTAGTACGGAAAGTGATATGATACAAAATGTTGTAGACGTACAATAACCAAAACGACAATAACCAAAAGGCTAAGAAGAGAAAACAAAAGGCTACGACGAGAATACTCTATAAGCCGACTCATTGAGTCAAAAAAATGAAAACAAAATATAGAGTATTTTAACAGACCCATTGGGTCAAAAGTCCGATGATTATTTACGCCCACTACTGTCACACTAATTAGTGGCATTTCTGCCAAACGACGGAAGCAGTTAGGAGCATCCTCAATCGCGAGATAACCGTAAAGAAGTACGCTGCATATGCGCATATCAAGATTAACCCAGATGGGTACATGTCTGATACGGAAAAGCGTGTACACACACCGATTCGCCGGTAAAATGTATTACTCAAACCCATAACCTCCTACAATGGACGAACCAATCAACTTTCTGAGTGGAATGTACGGATTAGGAAAAAAAACTTTTTTTTTCTATATCACTTTATTTAACTATGTCACTTTAATTAAGAACCCAAACTTAGAATCTATCGAGAAAACCCATTTCTTAACAAGGCTCGCAAGGCTCGCAAGGCTCGTATCTCTTCTTATATATATATTTTTTTATTTTTCTTTATAACGTAAGCTGCTTGGTCGTTTGCCTCATTTTTCTTGAAAAAAGACAATCTATCAATGTACCGTCGTTTCAACGAAATTATTTAATCACAAACAAGATGAGTAACGACCTCTACTATTACTGTTTAACGGATGCAACTAGGACTGCCATCAAAATGTTAAAGAATGTCACAATATTAGAATCAATGTTACATAATTATAAGTTTAAATGTTACAAAGTGCTGTCCTAACGTTAGAGTTTCACAAACTTTGACAAAATTAAAATGAATATAATCATGATATTCGTAATTATAGTTTAGAAGTAAATAAAAGAATAGATACCGACTGTTATCCTTCTATTCTGCCCATTTTATGATTTGTTTATGTGGGTATCAATTATAAGAGATACGTAAGGGCTAACTGGGCCTATTTAAAATAATAACGATTCCTCCTGCTCTTCTTCACTCTACCAACGTCACTCACATGAATGTGTACTGTTCATAAGATGATAGAGCAGAGCTAATGAAGCAATTACCTCAATAGAAACAGAATAAATATTTTCTAGCAATGCGCTAATTGGTCTTTCAAATACTTCTAATCAAGTTGGATAATATATTTAATCTAGGCGGAAATGATGACTAGCAGGGAAATTGAATCGTTATCGAATATTCATTCAAATCAAATATTAATGCAGAGTATATAACCGACGTAGAGCTGAATCGGAAAGAAGGAATATTTTTCGCGGAAAATATCAGCTCATGGTCGAACGAGCGGCTTCGTTTCGAAATATTTTTTTTGTTATTATTTTGAAAATATGCAGGTTTCCTAACGATTAAGGAAATATGTTTTCTTTTTAAATTTTACCACATCTCAACAATTAAAACATGTAGAAATAGTACGAAAAGATTGTGGCTATCAGCCGTTTAGCTCAGTGGCTAGAGCGTCAGGCCGCGAATGCCGAAGACGTGGGTTAGATTCCCACAGCGGCGACAATCTTTTCGCACTTTGTCTACGTGTTTTAATGTTCAATCTTAAGTGCAGAGATTAGCACTATAAAAAAAAAAGAAAAAAAACTGTAAAACATCTGACCAAGTCCATTTTTTTAAAAACGCAAAACAAAACCGACTTCAAATATCTCTGTATTCATTTTATAATTGATTTCAGGAGTCGCCTATCTCCGGAGCACAAAATCCAATACCATTGAAATTAATGTAGGGCCTCATGGGAAGCACCAGCTTTCAAATAAAAAAAAGAATCATCAAAATTAGTTCACCAATTCGAAAGCTATGTGGTAATAAACATAAACAAAATACAGTGGTTACCTCAGATAGTACCTCAGTGGTGCCGTGATAGCTCAGTGTCCGGGCGCTCGCCTTTAATTCAATATACTCGAGCAACCTGAGTTCGATCCCCGGTGCCGGCACCAATGAAATTGTCAATTTTAAGTGCTGAATTATCACGTGCTCAGCGGTGAAGGAAAACATCGTGAGGAAACCTGCATATTTTCGAAATAATAACAAAGAAAAATGTTTAGAAGATATGTGAAGTCCACCAATCCGCAGTGGGGCCGCGTGGTGGACTATGCCCTGATACCCTCTGTACAGAGGAGGCCTTTGCCCAGCAGTGGGACATGTATAGGCTGATACTTTACTTTACTTTACTTTACCTCAGAAAGTTCTGACGTAACAAACATAACAAAAAAATATAGTCGAATTGAGGAGCTCCTCCTTTTTCGAAGTCGGTTGTAAATGCACTCTTCCTCACAATACCTTTCGTCACCACAAGGCGCGCAGTAAATAGATGCTTCGACATCATTGGGATTTGAACTTGGGTTGGTCGAGTAGAATGGCGACAAGCCATGAAGGCCTCGTTAACGCTCTGCGACCGCATTGTCACACTAGATGAATGCCGAAGGGAACTTTTTACTCCCTATTCTACCAATAACCAATTTCAGAACTAATTAAAAACTAATTTCAGAATTTTTGTGCCGAATTTTGTACAAATTCAACTTTTCCCTGGGAGAGTTTACGTCAAGCAGTCAGCCGGTCGTGAAAAACCAAACAATGAAATGATCCACATTTTCACAAATCAAACTATACGTGGTGCGAAAACCAGACAGCGTGAAACATTTCATTCATAGTTTCAAGATAGATAGTGTGGAAATATTACAATAGTAAAGCTCTATATAGAGTTTGTTGACGCATCCGACTTAAAATAATGCAGCCCAGAACTAAGTAACGTCATTTCATAGGTAGTATTGAATATCATCATCAAATCAGCTAACCGAAATCAGTCCGAAAACACTGAAATATATACATTTTTGTAGTCTATGAGTTGAAATGCTGTCCTCTGTCTATAACACTAGATCATTTTTAAAACCGACTTCTATAATGTCGTCCAACATTAATTAAGTTCTTAGATAACAAAAAAAATACAACTGAATTGACTAACTCCTCTTTTCTCAAATCGGATGAAAATAGCAATATTGTATTATATCATAATAAAGATAATGTGAACACAATCGTTCCTTTACAAGGGTATAAAATTATTTATTTTATATAAAAAACAACAAAAACAAATTCCGTAACAAATTAAGCGTAGAGATTCAAGAAGCGATGGGATCCTAGAAATAGGCAGTTTCGATCTCGTGTTTTGTCGTTATAAAACACTTAGGGACAAAAGTTTTTTATTCTAATTCTATTCTACCTATGTATAAGCAGTTTCTATCCCGAATCTTATACATGCACTCATACACGCAAACATCTACACAAATCCGTTGGGTCCGATAGGAGGAACTAACGATGATCTGGTTATATCCGAATAACACTGGTTTTTTATGTGAGAAGGTGGCAAACTAGTTGGTGGTTCACCTGATGTTAATAACCGCCAAACATCTGCATTTGCAAAACCCGTAACGTTAAATTGGGCCCCGGCTTTCTCACTGACCAGACAAAACTCAGAAGTATATCACTTTCATTTCACGCTGGTCTTCTGTGAGGCCGTTCTACTTACCCGGACGTACCTGCTCCTTTTTGCAACAGAGAAGAACTATTGGCCCTACCACAAGAAACAAGATGCGCCTTTGCCGAAACTGTTGGTTTGAAAGGAGTCACCTGTAAGGCACGTCCGCCGCTAAGAACACGTAGTTGATGGCATAATGCGCCGCTGCGAACGCAGGTAGCGAGAGCAGGAAGTAGCTGAGGAGGTGGAACCTTCTGAACTGGCCCAGCTCGTGCATCAGCCGGTCTGTGTCCAGCCCCTCCGCGACAGGCTTGGTCTTCTCAGCCATGATCCCACACCCAGCCACTTATTTCAGCCTTTCTATATCAACTTGATATCACGAAGACCGCGCCTAATTTCGTCCGCATCAAAAATGTACTAAACGCGATGAATAAACGTTAAAAACGATAAATATTTAACGATCGACACTTACACTACTGTAAAATTCGATGTGAAATTAAAAAAAAATATTTTCCTTTAATGCGAAACCTTTATTGGGGAGGAATTTGTCTATCTTATCGACTCTAAACCACGCACTGGTTTCGATCACCACTTTGAAACTCTAAATAAGATTCATCGAGCAATTGGGTCGCTTTATGTGTTCAAAGTATAGCTTGTCGCGAGAATTAGAGATAATTTTACGCGAAGCAAGTCGCGCGTGCGGAGTCGGCTTGCGCGTGCACAACTGACGTAGAAACGCATCGACTGCGTGCGGCATTGACTGCTGCATGCATTGGCCTGACGCGTGAGGATGGAAAAAAGGCGAGTCCTATTGTAGTGATCAATGTTATCACAACAAAGTTGAACTATGCTTTAGCTCCATACCGCTTCCGCAGGAAAACTACTTTCGTCGGATAAGTGGTGCTAATTTTTGGTGTTACGTTCGTGGCTAGTGTTTGTCAACTGTTATGCTAGTGCAAGCTAGTGTGACTCAACTCTCTTGAAGACTGTGTAGCGAGCTGAATAAAAACTTTTTTTGTAAAAGTTAATGTTACTATAAATGTGTTTTTTTTCTTTGGGAAAACGTTACATTAAACATAAGTAAACAATAAACGTACGAAACTAAGTTAAGTTTGGATTGGGATAGCTCGATCGGTACAGCGGTTAATATAGTGGCTTAGGTGTTGTGGGTGGTGATATGATTCGTGGCCGGGAAACGTTTTTGATTGAATGATAATCGTTCCAGATATGGTTGTATGTGTATTAGAGGTTCTGAAACTACTCTTGGCTGAATAATAATGCTATCCTACATAAGAAGTAGCTTTAATAAAAAAAGAATTGAAACAGAAATTAAGTCAAATCAAAACTCGAAACTAATTTATACTAAAGCGTTGAAAAAACTGTTTACCACTTTCTTGTATCTTGTCTTGCACTAGTGGTTTGTTTGGGCCTAGATGGAGCGACCATGGACGTTGTAAAAGGTTCGAAACGTCGGCAATTAAAATTAAACGCGATAAGTCCGTAAAGAAATAGTTTCATTTATAAAAGAAAAATAAGTTAAACTAATCAAATAGTCCGATCGCTGGCACTGACGGTCCTATGCTAGTTCAACTTTACCAATAGTTTACATTGTCAAGTACTACATTATATTGATAGAAAATAATGATAAAATTTTCATCATTAATGACAACTAGTTAACTTTTTCGTACCTTAGCTTGGACCGCAATTGATTGTGGAACCTATCCAGTCGAAGTAATAAGGTCGAAACTACGATTTAATCACGATACAAAACGTAAAAGTTTACGATTATTTGTTCGCGCATTTTACATAGATGACAAGCGTATTCTTATCGCTAGTTATCTTTACTATTTTTGCGCTGCGTCGAATGTCAAGCGGAAGCAGTGGCAATTAGTGAAACTGAACGGGATTATCCTGTGGCCTCCTCGCACAGGCGTGTCAGGGTTTTCCTCCATACCCGTCTGGAGTTTATGGCGTCTCATAAATCAAGTGTCGCTAACAGTGACAACTATGAGAAAACATACCCTACGTTTAGAATCCTTAAAATCGAATAATGGACATAGTGCACAGAATGAAAAGGTTCCCAGTTTCGTATGTTTCTTCAATAGTGTGTGGAGTGAAATTTGAACAATAGCAGTGTTAGCGTCACGCAACAGTAATGGTCAGGCTTCTGAGGAAGTACAACATAACGGAAAACCGGCGTGGAGTCGTCGTATTATACTTCTGCGTTTCGTCTGGTGAGTGTGGTAATCGGAACCTTTGAACCACTTTATTATAAGGTGGCAACGCATATGTGCCAGCATCTCACGTAAAAAAATACTGAATTTAAGAATGGTCAAACTCGTCGAGTTATATTTTGACATTTGTTTCCCTCACCTAATTTAAAGAAATGAAAAATATTTTCACTGCCTATATAAACCCTTAGGAGGTTAATGTAAAATTTCAAATCAATTTATAAAATAAAAATAAAATAAAGCTACAAAAGCTGGTCTGGACACTCACTTTTAATTCATTATTCTCGATCAACCTGAGTTCAAACCCCAGTTTGAGCATCAATGAAATTATTGATTTTGAGGGCTGCCATAACAAGTTCTCGGCAGTGAAGGAAAATATCGTGAGGAAACCTGTATATTTTTGAAGTAATAACAAAAAACATTTTTAAGATATGTGAAGTCTGCCAATCCGAGATGGGGTCGCGTAGACTATGGCAAAGGCATCCTCTGTACAAAGAGGATAAGGCCACACTCCACCGGACCGGTGCATTGTTGATAATTAAAATTAATTGTCAAACGTACAGTTTTCGTGTTTGAAACCGGGTAAGTCTATGTAACGATTGACGATGTCAAATCACGAGGGCCAAGGTAAATGATAGGATGAGTAATATAGGAGAGTCCTTGGTGGACTTTGTACTCGGGCAAGGAAAATGTCGCAACATTTATTGGTCTGTGACGACAGATACATTGTCTGGTCAACTATTGGCCGATGGCTAGGTGTCATTTTGTCTACATTTATTACCATCATCAGACTATTGGTGGTATTATGCTACAGTGCATTTTACTTCGATGAGATAATTTAAATTTTTAGGTATAGTATAAATCTCAGGATACTCGTTTTGTACACATAAAGAGTTTCGTCTGTGTCGACAGTGTTCATTATATCTAAATCAGTGAAATAATAGTGAATTTAAAGTAGTAGAAGTTTTTGTTTAGACAGCTCACAACGACAACGTACAATTTGTAAAAGTGAGTAAAAATCGAGAAAAGCATAACAATAATGTCTCTAAGAGCGATATGTACGCCTTTTGTCAAGCGAGCCTGGTTGAAGATGCGTTGGCAACGCTTAAAATAGTATTTATTGACGTCTTTTGCCGTAATAGTCTTTAGTAGTGTATTTTGTATATGATCATAATGTATTGAAAGTAAAGTAATTATTATATAATATGCTAATATATTTGTTATGACACGCGACAGCACTGCGAATTAGCAGACTTCACGTATCTGTGATTTTTTTTTTCAAATATTAGATATATCGCAGGTTTCTCTGCGAAGTTTTCTTCACTTAGGAATCAACACTTACCGTTGCAATTATATTGGTTCTAGCCCCGAAAATTGAACTATAGTGAGTAGTGACCTGTGTACGTTTCATTAAAAAGAGCGCCCGAATGACTATACAAAATTTTAGTTCTTTTGAGTGAGCAAAACACGCTGTGATTGCTGTAGCTATACTAAGATTGGAGGAGGCTCGGATGCTGTCATGGACTGTGGACTGGTTTTAATAACACCTCAATTCTGTATTGTATCAATTATAAATTGGATCTGCTTATTTTATATGTAAACGATTCTAATTAAATACAGGGAGATTTTTTGAGAAGTGCCCAAATTTACACAGGAGGTTCAGACTGGGTATTATATTCATTTATTGAAATAAAAAACAAATAAAAAAAATGTCATTCTATTCCCTAAGAAACAGAACGTGGTGACAATGCGGTAGTCATACATAAATACCTAAATTTTACTGTGCACGAACTTGTGTGTGTTAGTTATGAATGATCGCGAGTAAAATAAATGAGTTGCGTATAAATTTTTGAGATAAGTTCGCACGCACTTTTTGTGATAAGTCCAAATGAATGTAATTAATTACTTATGAGTGATTTTAAATATTTATCATTTTTTATATAACATTATTTATGTCTAGAATTTAATAAAAAAATGGATACACTTAGAAAAGCCACCCTGTATATGGTGGAGGAGGTAACAATCATTAAAATAAAATATAACCGAATTGGGAACCCCTTAACCGCCTGTTTTGAAATTTGTTAAAAAGAGCAAATTTCAGACAATACGTTTAAAAATCACTAGCGCCATCTATCGAGAAAATAAGAAACTGACAATAACATACACAAACATTGCGCGGTTTATTTGCATTGAGTAAAACAACTTTCTGGGGTTTCAACACATTCAATTTACTTTTGAATTACGTGTTTTTGTGTCGCGACATAAATTACTTAATGCATTCCAGACAACGATTTTCATTTGTAGTATTTTTTTATTTATTTTAATTTTTATGACAATGGTTTTAGACTGTGCGAAGTAGGATAGAACGTTAAACTCATTGGCGCTTGCCAGTGGCATTTGAACCTTGGATTCTTAAATCGCAAGCCAAACTCTAACTAAAAGATATTTAAAATGGTAATTGTCATACAAATTACAAGCATATATTTTATGTTGCTTTTTAAGGTTTCCAAACCAGCGTCCATAGAATTCGACAGATTCTCGGTAGGTATATAATTTATATTCCTCACCCCAACACAGCGCTGATTTTCAGTCCTAAACTTCATACTTCATGATAGTTCGATTCGATGCCGTACTGACCCATATACAGCAATATAATAATCTTATAATAGTTATAATAAAAATTAAGATGTAATAATGAAATACTTTAAAATATTAACGATTATGACTTTAACAAGTACGAGGCACATCAACAATATGGCGGATGTCCGATCTTCACCGTCACACTCTGTATTAGAAAAGTTATATAAGTACTAGTAAAAACAATATATCAATTCCTTAATTTAAATATTACGTCCTATTTTCACCTTTGCAAAAGGTATGTATTATTATTATTACTAGATAACCATTTGCTCGTATTGTATGGCAAATTAAACTAAAGCTCACAAAACCACGTGGCGTTTCAGATATATAAAGATGGATAGTGCACACTAGGCCACTGAGATAAACATCCACAGAATATAAACCTTAATACTGTATTATGAAATAAAAGATCACAATTAACTTCGAATTGAAATTGGTTCGCAAACAATTTTGATAGTTAACTAATGCGTCTTTGTATTTTGCACACCGTATTGAAGTCTGCAGTTGTCGACTTGTGCAAGTCAAGATGGCGGCATTGGGAGTCGTATTCTTATTTGAAACGCATAAACAAGACTTTGATTGCCCGAAATACGTGAGTGAACGTGCATTGCGAAAGGTCGGAACCCTGCAATTCTTTATCTAATAGTAGTAACAGCATTTAGCAGTAAATGTTGAACCTCCTGAAGACCAACAGATTCGTAGTTTTAAATAACTTACAGTGTTACCAACCTATATAACTGAGATCGATTTTTGCGTCGTTGAAGATCTATTTTTATTTTTATTTAAATAAACTACTTATTCTTTGGATTGTTTTTGTGTATATTTACTTTCAAATTGATATTGTATATATCTCGTGTATACGTAGTAACTTTAAACATAAATATAATCCATACTAATATTATAAATCCGAAAGTAACTCTGTCTGTCTGTCTCGCTTTCACGCCAAAACTACTGAACCGATTTAAATGAAATTTGGTACACAGATAGTCTAGAGCCTGAGAAATTATATTATTATTTTTAATCGGAAAATTAAAAAAATATATTTATTTAAGGGCTTCAACGCGAGCGAAGCCGCGGGCGAAAAGCTAGTGTGGTATACACGCGAACTTCACGGTAAAAACTATTTACAATTTCACTAGGGGATACTTATAATGCATTTAAACTAGCTTAAGAATTTATTGAGTATATCGATTCAAAGTCGGCTTTATAAAAATTTAAAAATATACATATACAGTACAAAAACCCATAACCAATTCTCTCAGCCGCGTATACAAAAATCAAAAAAAATCTGAATCATTTATTCATCGACGTAAGAAACTTACATTTCATCTTTCGATAGTCATATTTTTTTTAATCTACCACCGTTTCGCAATGAGGTTCCTCTAGCGGAGAAGACACAGGCGAAAGAAACTCCGTAGGTATCTTCGTTTTTGTAATTCATTTTTGTTTCTTAAAAAAAAATTAAAATATTATACAACTGATGTTTTTTTCCTTTTAGAAATAGCTTGGGAGCGATCAACTCATTCCCAGGGGTTGTCATTAATGTATTCATTTGTATTTTAATAACCCTTTTTATAAAGTATTCCTTTAATAAATTTCTTAAACCTGTTAATAGGCGGGTTTTGCGCATATACGAGCACGGGGAACCGACACAACGCGTACACTGGGCACACGCTGGTATTCCTCCAGAGCGCTTTTACCAGTTGCCGATAAACAATTGCAACAATGCTTTTGCATAAAAGTGCGTGTCGGAGTCGCGCATGAAGAGCTCCGCACCATTATTTATAAAAACGGCAGAAAAACCATGTCTATTGAATGGGAGCCCCACTTAAATTTTAATCTTATTTTTTACTAGCTGTGCCCGCGACTTCGTCCGCGTGTAAATTGAAATGAACAAAATTTCCAAAATAAAAGTGGCCTAAGTTAATTCTTATTACATCAGCTATCTGTCAGTGAAAGTCCCGTCAAAATCGGTCCAGCCGCTTAACATATTAGCCGGAACAAACAGACAGACAGACAGACATTTGTACCGTGTATACATCCACATGCAATGAGTAAAACGCGGTTATTTTAATATTACAAACAGACATTCCAATTTTATTTATCTCTATAGATTCTGTTTTTTAGATTCTGTTGTTATAGCTGCAACAGAAATACACGATCTGTGAAAATTTCAACTGTCTAGCTATCACGGTTCATGAGATACAGCCTGGTGACAGACGGACAGACTAACATCGGAGTCTGAGTAATAGGTGCCGTTTTACGCTTTAGTTTCAGAACCCTAAAAATAGTAAAATTACTTTAAATGGTCGAAGACCTACACAACCCCCGCAATTTCGGAGCGCTGATGAAGTATTACGCAACTAAACTTGCTCAAACCAAACTTTATCTCTTCTTAAACGTTCTTATATTTCATAACAGTAATTAAGAGGACAATAGATGAATTCTCTGTAGCATAAAATGTATAGCAGCGTTTTTCTTCCGACCTTCGTCGTAACGCACCAGTTTCTCCGCGAATCATTACGAAACTGTCACATTAAATTGAAAGCAAATCGTTATAAGCAAGTTCGCAAGATGCTCAACCGAGCAGAAACTCGGATTGATATAATGCACCACGTGATAATGTTTGATATAATACAAGTTTTACGACCTCACAGAAGACCGTGATATGCAGGTGTCACACTTCTGCGTCTGGTGAGTGAGGTAGCCGGGGCCACTTTACCTTGCCACTTTACCTTTACTTGGCCGATTTTATTTAAAGGTCTGGTAAAACGCATCTGCAACCTCATGGTTGTTGCAGTGCCCATGGGCGGCGGTTTTCACTTAACATCAGGTGAATCGATGAATGATCCAACTCTTTTGCTACCTTTTCACATTAAAAAATACGGTTTTTGATATGTATTTCCTCAGGTATTCTTACCATAATTTTCGCATTTTCATACAACGTTAACATAGGTAAAAAGATATACATATGTTTAACACTTTAACGTCCGGCTTCTGAAACACTGATCGTAATAGTTAACTAATCAGCTGTCAAATGGCTTTTCAAATGTTATTTAAGTTGCTGGATGGTTAAACTCTCTGAATTGATCAGAATGATCCTTTTAATGATCGGAATGATCCTTTTGTTGATCGGAATGATCCTTTTGTTGATCGTAATGATCAATTCAAAAAGTTTGTCAGGAACCGGACGTCAGCTAAAATGTCAATAGCGGATCTAAAATAACAATAATTATAAATATGAATAAATGCTACACACATCTGATCTTTAATCAAGAACATGCATGAGCAATTGATGAAAAACAATATCAATAATATCAGGACGAATGCAATGAGCAGTAGCAAAGAGCAGAAAGGGACTTCATGGTCGACATCCTAGTGATCTCAACCAACGATTTATAAGTAGCGAAGTAGCCGTTTTTTTAATTTGAAAGAAATGGTATTAATGGAAAATCACAAATCATCAATCAATTTTAAGTTTCTATAAATTCATTGACAGTATTATTAGGTTCACCTGCTACATAGATCAGAAAATGAGTGTTTCAATGTATGATTTGAATTTTTTCATATCCTTCTTGCTATAAGCAAGATGGAAGAAGAAACGTAAATTATATTTTCTTCAAAACTATTTTGGGTCACGGTGTAAACACGTCTCGTGTCAACACATGAACTAAGTAAACTTCATTATGCAGCTGTGAAACGAATCGATCATACCTAAAAATACGTTATGACCTCAGGTCGTCCAATGTCCTCCAACCATGCTTTATACCGTGGTAGGACCACGCAACAGTCCTCGCTGTTGCACGAATGGGCAGGCCCGTCCGGAGAAGTACCACGACCTCACAGAAGACCGGCGTGAAGTGGAAGTATTAGGTAGCCAGGGCCCGCTTAATTTAAAGGCAGCAACGCATCTGCATTCCGGATATTGCAAATGGGCGGCGGTTATAACCTAAAATCAGGTGAATCACCAGCTCGACTGCCACCTTCTCAAATAAAAATAATTTAAAGACGTTGCATTTTTTATTGTTTTATGTTGTTGATGCAACTTTTTATAAATAAACTAGCTGTCTCAGCAAACGTCGTTTCGCCATATAAATTATTTCTAGATGAATCGGAACGCACGCATAAAGTGTTTGACAGGTTACACAGACAGTTGACAGGTTGACAGATACAGTTTGTATGGGAAAATAAAATTGTTGCTATAACGATTTTCCATGCAATTTTTCCATAATTTCTCATAGTTTAAACCTTCCCTGGACTGCTACAAATATTTCAAAACCAAAATTAGCCAAATCGGTCCGGCCGTTCTCGATTTTTAGCGAGACTAACGAACACCTATTCATTTTTATATATAAGAGAGAGAAGATAACTAAATGTCAAGATAGAGTCGAAACAAGTATTTGTTGAAAATAACTTCGAAAAATCCGCAGTCAATGAAACAATTATAAATAAATTACATTCCATTTGATTGGCAATCTCAATCAACAATTGAATATTGCCAATGAAACGAAATGTAATTTTTAGGGTTCCGTACCCAAAGGACCTATCACTAAGACTGTATGACTGTCTGTCTGTCGCCAGGCTGTATCTCATGAACCGTGATAGTTAGTCAGCTGAAATTTTCACAGATGGTGTATTTCTGTTGCCGCTGTAACAACAAATACTAAAAAAACTAAAGAAAAAAATATTCAAGTGGGGCTCCCACACAACAGACACAATTTTTTTTGCCGTTTTTATAGATAATGGTACGGAACCCCGCGCGAGTCTGACTTGCACTTGGCCGATTTTTTTAAATATCTTATGCATTTCCTTTCTCTGCAGGCGTAAGGTCGTTGATGCATTGTAGTTTATCAATTAGACCCCAGACACTTATAATAACTACTATTTACGTTCGTTTCGATCTTGACCTGGCAACGCTGGCTACTGAGGTCAGAGTGAGAGGGGAGGTCCAATTGGGTTAGAAGTCATTATGCGTTCTGTTTAAAAGCTTTCTCGTATTGAATTCTAAAAATTTTTAACGTGTGTACTATGACAGTACAGAACAAAGATCAGACTTTTTGTGACGTTTCTCTCAAGTAAAAATAATCAATGCATGGAATGCGATTTAACTGACGTAATCATTTTACAGCCGTAAATAGTTATCTTAGAAGCATAGTGAGAGCTGACTTTACTTTAACTGACGTTTTTGCTTTCAGTCCGTAGATTGTTAAAGCGTCATCGAGCACGGAACTGTGCTAGCTGGTTACCACGAGCTTCATACTTTCCTTGCACATGCGAGTAATAGCATATTTACTTTGCCTTGAAGACCTCACGTAACATTCGACTTTCCTAGATTCAAGACTAGAAACTGAGTTGTTAATTCGTCTTTTCCAATGATGTGCACAAAGGCTTTGCTAGATCCAAGATTCTAGAACCTGACTCATTAGTTCGTCTTCTCCAGTGACAAATGATTTTCCGTTGTAAGGGTTTCTCTGAAGCGTAAGTTATTGGGTGACATTTTGCGCGGTCACATGCGACTTACCGCGTGTCATGTTTAAAGACCCAAATGTAAAAGAAACTTGTATAACACCAACTTATGCTTAGTCATGTTGTTAAAGTGCGCAGACAAAACCGGCCAAGTGCGAGTCGAAATCGCGCACGAAGTGTTACAAAAATCATGTCTGTCATATGGGAGCCTCACTTATTTTTTTTCTGTTCTTTTTAGTATTTGTTGTTATAGCGGCAATAGAAATACATCATCTGTGAACATTTCAAAAGTCTAACTATCGCAGTTCATGCAGCCTGGTGACAGACGGACGGACAGACAGATAGACAATCAGACGGTAACTATGGTAAGGCCACGCAGCAGCTTCGGCTATTGCACGGATGGGATGGGCAGGCTCGTCCGGGTAAGTACCACGACCTCACAGAAGACCGGCGTAAAGTGAAGTATAACAAATACTTTCGCGTTTCGTCTGGTGAGTGAGGAGGCCAGGGCCCAATTTTCAAAAGGTTGTCAACGCATCTGTAACCCTCTGGTGTAGCAGATGTCCATGGGCGGCGGTATTCACTTAACATCGGGTGAACCGCCTGCTCGCTTATCAACTTTTCACGTAAAAAAAAAGACGGCGTAGTCTTACTAATAGGGTCCCGTTTTACAAACACACATGTAATCCTGACTAGTGACGAAAAGCTCTTTAGGCGTGCACTCGAAACAATTTAGCCTACGCAACGCCAATTATGTGAAAGTTCAACGAAGCTATAAGCTGCGGAATGTTTACGCTCCGGTCGAGAGATGCTTAAATGTGAGAGGATCGTACGTTAAATCATTAAGTTTTTTTTATTGATGATTTTAATGACTAGTATTAATGTTGTGAACTCATGAAGCCCACAAGGATTGTAGATGTCCATGGAAAGCGGTAATCACTTAACATCAGGCGAACCACACGCTCGCTCGATAAGTTATGACGAAAAAAATATAATATACTTTAATATATATTAATCGAACTTAACTATTATGAATCGAATTTTTCTACATATTTTAATGTTCAATCTTAAGTGCAAAGATTAGCACTATAAACAATTTAAATTTTTCTACATATTTTAATATATTAATCGAAATAAAATCGGTACATTTAAGCTAACCTATAGTAATATGTATGTTTTCTGTCCGAAAACAAGGTACTAAAAGTCTTGAATGACAAAACATCAATTTATTTTGTAAAAGCAAAGTGAAAAAGTTCAGTGAAAACCTGTAAAATTGCCTTTCTTTTTATTACCTCATTTATGTTGTGCTTTTACACTGCTGTTGGTTTTCTCCATTAAATAAAATAAAAATAAAAATAAGAAAATCAATGGGCGACTCTGAACCTTTTTTTATATTTGAACTCATACAAGTAATTTTTTATTAACAGAAAACAAAAGTGACTTCAAACATCTCATTCACCATACATTTTTCTATTTCCCTAATTAATATGGGACCTACCAGGAGCTAAACCGAAACCAATGCAAAAAGAACTTTTGGGTACATAAATCATTAACGACGCAGCTCTTAGATAACAAACATAAAAAAACGTAAAACTGGTCGAAAACGAGAATTTTATTCAAAAATTAAATTATCATGCCAACAACAAACCTATTCCGATTCATTCAAAGATTAAATTACCAACAACTCCTCCATTCAAAGCTTACGAGCTTAAACGTCACAGTTGCGTCTCATCAATTTTAGAAGAAAACGACATGAGAGAGATTACGGAGATAATTTACCTGTACGGAACGTCCGCTGCGAGGAAGATGTAGGTGGTGTGCAACAAGCCGACTTGGAAAGTCGCCATTGCAACCATCACGTACATGCGAATGTGGAACCTTCCCGCTTGGCCCAGCTGCTTCAAGACGGCGTCGGCTTCCAGAACATCTTTGGGGACGGATTTGCCGTCGGTAGTCATCTTGCGAATACCACGTATATACTTCAAGAAGATCTCTTTAAAAATATCCAGTAAGTTCAATATATCGACTTAATATAAACGAAAGTTAAGACTTTAGGAACACATAAAGCACGCGCAACGCGTGGCGGAACGCGTTGAAATGCACACTCAGCTATCCCTTGGGCACCGATGGCGCAAACCCACTATGTCAGGGCCGTCTCTTCAGAGTAGACAGTCACCTCGCCGTTTCAGGTCGCACCAGGCGAGTGCCCGAATACAATCGCCGTGTTCACGGCTTATTAACGATCGCCTATAGGTGCGATAAGCAATTTATAGTTGCTGTATTATTGCTCATTTTTTTCTTACAGGCGCTTACGAGTATCGTATGTCTATCTTGTTTAATTACTATAAATGAAAGAATTAAAATACATAACTATCGTCTACTATGTAGTATTTACCTTATATTTTGATGACACAAAACTGCTTTAACGAAATATATTTTACCAAACCGATAGCGTTGGAAGGACATATGAGAATGCTGTGGCAGGGTCACTCAACAGCTGCTGTTGCAAGAATGAGCATGCTCATCCATGAAAGGTTTCACATAGAATTGGCCAACAGATTCTATTGTTGCATTAATGTGTTGGCTAGTCCGGGCTCACAGAAGAACGGCGTGGAAGTATTAAACTAAGACGACGTCTGGTGAGTGTGGTAACCGTAGTCTATTTAAAAAAAAATGCCAATGTATCAGTAAGCCATTCGTTGATGTAGATGTCATTAAAACCCCTGTGCTTTGAAACATGATAGTTATGAGACAGAAACTGTGGACCATGTAATATGACAACGATGAAACACAAAAAAAAACATTTTAATACATAACAAAGCATTAATTTATGTATTAATGAATAAGAAACACTAATACAAAGCCCTAAATGGGCGATCGGACTAACTACTAAAGAAGAAGCTGTGGGACTCCTTAATAGATATATAGATATATACAGAACCATACATATGTGTACAGAACCGTATAAATGTTATAAACCAGAAAATTTATTTCACCTCCAGTAAAAATATCATTCATAATAATCACTTAACATCAGATGAGCCCCCTGCTAGTTTGCTCCTTTTTTAAAAAAAATTATAATAATTAACATTTTGATGCCTCCGTGACACAATTGCCAAGGCGGCGGGGGTTCGTAGGTTCTACTCCCATATAGGACAGATATTTGTGTGACCCGCAGTATAATTGTTTCCGATATGGGTGTTTGTTAACGTGAAATTTATTTATGTAAAAGGTCCTTAAAACACCGCATAATGATATTCTACATTAAAGGCAATGTTTAAAAAAACAATAAATAAAGAATATCTGAACAGGTTTTAAGATCAATGGCCTTAAGACATTTATAATTAGTCATACACTTCTATATAATTAATATATACGACAGCGTGACAACTGTAGCCATTCTCTGCTACGATGAAGTAACAGATTATCAACACAGCTGTAATCCTAGTTATTCATTTTGCACTCAGCGTATACATTATAAATAAACTGAATGACCGTTTCTTTATCAATACCGACCACTCTCCTAATTTGCAACTTGTTCAGCCATGAAGTAAGCAACCATTACACCTGATACTCCCAAATCAATAAACCTCTGCCTCCAAAAGACTTCTTCAAACCAAAAAAAAACAGGAATAAAACACAGGCATACTTAAAATATATATTTATAATAAATCCAACGTTTTCTCATTACAACGTGAAACAAAACAAAATTTTAACAAATGTGTGCATTATATGCACGATCGTAAACTGTGATAGGATTCTTCTCTCCCCAAAGAACTTATCTGAGATCATATTGTAGCAATGTCTTTATTGTATGATGTACAATGATATTTTATACCACTGAAAACGGACTTTTTCATGGCTTCGAATATCACGTGTGTGGTTTTCGTGGTATTATAACAAATACTTGTAGTCAAATATATTATCTGTAAACTCTCTACTTAAATATATAGAGAATATCTGTACACTCTTAAGGCCTCTACCAATAATATCATAAATTTCTCACGGTTTTGAACACATATCGTTTGCACTGCTTTGAGATTTATACAGGAGCTTACAGCGCTTCCTTACCGTTTAACAGATATACTAAAGCTTAATCAAAACTTTAGTCACTGTGCTGAGACTTTGTAGGTTATAAAAGCTGATTTGAACATAAACTATGCGTGACAAACTCGTCGTAGATATAACCGAGTCGAGTGCGTAAATTGCACAGACGTTTATAACACCAGCCCTTAACCAGGGCGGCTTGAAACAGATCTTTAAAAGCCTTATTTCTATCACAAACTGAAACTTATATTGTACAATCTATGTGTGTTTGTACTTAATAGCGTTAAAATAAAAATCTAAATGTAACCAGAAGACCGGTCACTACCCTTTTATTGATAGTATTATTAATTATATGGCAAAATTTGTGGTATGCCTCAGCATATCACAAATTTTGCCAGATACACACCATAGGTTTTTGATATATGTGTTATAAAAGTTAGCGAATAGGTTTGTATTGGTGTTTCCCAGATTAGACTTACCGAATTAAATTCCGTAAGTATCATGGTAACATGTAGATAAATCATCATAATAATCAAAATAATTCATGTATTCTTTGTTATAACAAAAACCTTTGACGGAAATTAGTAGTCTCGACTTGTTAACATTACAAACGATAGAATACAACGTACGTTACGGGATTTTTGATTATAATGAACATATCTTTACTTCTCTATAAAAGTAATTTTAAATTTTGATAATAGGTCTACCGTTATCGGCCTGTTACCTACATTATGATACACCGAAATTGAAGCTTCATATTGAATTGAAGCTTCATTTGAATTTTTGTTCAATCATCGGTAGATTGCGTATATTGCCATTTCTACTATATTTGTGTACATCCCGTAATATCTATGCAACTTAGTTATCACATTCATTAAATTGGACGTTATCATCCGAACCGTGATTTGCAACCATTAGACATTAAACTTAATCATAACTGTATTACTTTACATCACTTCTTCGTCTATATTAATTGTAGTCATGAGATCAGTTCAGGCGAGAGACTGCCCCAACTCTTGGGGGTTGCTCAAGTCACGGTAGCGATCCGGCAAACGGCGGCCCAGGGTGTCCGGCACCAGCCGCGTCAGCGCCGCGCTGGCCAGCGGCAGCGCGCCCAGCAGTGCTGGCGGCACCCACGTTCCGTACCTCGCCTGCCCCAAAAGAAATCATCCAAAACCTCCACAATATCTTACATGCGAGAGGAATCGATTTCTCTATGCGATAGAGTTTGCGACGAAGACATCAGCAATAGAACAAAGGTAACCGACATAGCTCTGAAGATTGGCAAGCTGAAGTGGCGCCGGCCATATAGCTCGTAACCGATGGGTAAGAAAGGTTCGAGTGGCAATCTCGTTGTGGCCATCGCAGGGTAGGACGACCCCCCTACTAGATAGAGTGATGATCTTCGCAACTGTGTGGGAAGTTGATGGATGCAGGTGGCTCAGTAACTTGCTCCGTGGCAGGCTGTGTGGGAGGCCTATGTTTAGCAGGGGACTTCAATAGGCTGAAATGATGATGATGATGGGAGAAATCCTCTAAAGAGCCCCGTCTTCCTGGTGCAGAGGCTAAAACTCCACATAAATCCACCGACTGGTAGCGATCTGAACGGTGACCGTAAAATCACTCTATTGATAAGGCCCGTTGTCAAAATTGAAAAGAGCAACGTTGCGTTTACGAATATACTGTAAATGTATTAAAAATAAATTGGTGTGGTAGCTGATTGTACGCTAAGAGTGTGGCTGCTGGTTTGTACGCTAAAAAAGAAGAGATATTTAAACAAAAAAATGTTGCTAATGATATCTAATTAGCAACCCGCCCGGCCTCGCACGGGTGCAGTGTAGATATTAAATTTCTTTCTTCTTTCTTCTCTACTAACGTATATATTCATATATACCTTCCGCTTGAATCATTCTATCTATTGTTGAAAACCGCATTAAAAACCGTTGCGCAGTTTAAAAGATATAAGCGTACGAACATCGAGAGGGACTTTGCTTTATACTGTAACTAGCGATCCGCGCCGGCTTCGCACGTATGCAATACATACATATAAACCTTCCTCTTGTATCACTCTATCTAGTGAAAAATCTATCAAGATTAGTCGCGTAGTTCAAAAGACAGGCAGACAGCGGGCTTTTTAAAGTATGCAGTGATAGCGAAGGAGAGCTCACCAGCAGCGGGGTGAGCGGGGCCAGGATGGCGCCGAGGCGGCCGCAGGTGGAGCAAGCTGCCAACAGCCGCTGGCGCGCCCTTGTCGGGAACAGCTCGGCCGTGTACACGTACAGCGCGTTCAGCGACATCGTGGCGCCCACCTTGCCCGCCAGGAACAGCGCCGTGCCGTACACGCCCTCGGCTGCAACGTCGGGATGGCTCGTTATGGGAGCTATGGTCCACCATTGCGTAGAAGTCACAGCCAGAACCCTCTGTTAGGGTAGGGCCACGCATCAGTCTTCGCAACGAATAGGGAGGTCTGTCCGGTAAGTACCACGGCCTCACAGAAGTCCGGCGCGGAGTGGAAACGTTACACTTGTGCGTTTCGTCTGGTGTGAGAGGTAACCGGTACCCACACCGTTCAAGATATTGAGCAATAGTCTTTACTTTTAATTTTTCGTTTAAATTCATCAAGTGGCAGACTCGCGTGAGCACTTGCCCCATGAACGAGTCCTTTTTTGGCAAATAATGCGTAGTTTAGGTCCTTATTTCGATGAGGGCGGTCACCGTGAGGAGCAGGGCGGCAATAAATGGTTAACGCGGCAATCCTACGGGTGTCTAGCCAAGTGTATTCCATTCGCGTGAGCACTTACAGTCCGGCAGCAGCGGAACGGCGTGTTGACGAGCAGCGCGGGCAGCTCGGCGGCGGCGAGCAGCGCGTAGTTGGCGTGCGGGCTGCCGGCCAGGGCGTGCGCGCGCACCGCCAGCCCGTAGAACACGAACACGGCCGACGCCCACCACGCGAAGCACGTGAGCAGCCGCCGCCGCAGCTCGCCGTACCTGAGGCGGTGAACGCTTCCAATGGAGACCGCGCCCTCGCCTCGAGCAGTGTCGGCTCGATTTGAGGACTCCGTGCCGCAGTTGCCGAGGTCTTGGCTTCGGCGTCCGGGCTCGATTCCCACACGGGACTATGTGACCCACAAATAATTGTTTCGCATCTGGGTTCTTCCATGTGAAATTTATGTTTGTAAAATGTCCTTACAGCACAGAATATTACTCTCCTAAAGTAAGGGCAATGCTTTTTAAAAAAAGAGGGAAAAAGAGAACAGAGTCAATGGTAGAAGACCACGCAGACGTAGACCATATCGTTGGACTTAGTGACGAAGTCTGGGAATGTCAATTCAAGAGCTGGAAAGACTAGCAACAAACCGCGCAACAGGCGCCCCACCATCCGGACCAAGGCGATATAAAAGGGGTCACGATCCTCAGCACTGAGGGATGGACTAAGGAGAATGTAAGGTATTTCTCCTCATTGCGACATCTATAACTTACTTTATGAAGGCTCTGAACAAGCTCTCCTCTTCGTCGTCGACTGCGCTTTTGTCGACCACAGGCTCGGGTTGAGAAGTAAGCATCTTGTCTATTGCGTCTTCCGGAATTGGCACCTGGTTCCAGCGCGCCGCCTGCTTTATGACCCTCGCCGCTTGTGGCAGCTTGTTGTTTGCCACCAGCCAGCGCACGCTCTCTGGCAGCAACCAGGGGTAGAACAGCAGAAGGAACGAGGGGGGGTAGGCGATCCGAGCCCAGAGCCTCCAATAACCAGTCAAGTAGTCCAAGAGAGCCAAGGTCGCGGCGCCCGCTGAGAGGGGAATCCCAAGCAGAAGACTTGCCAATATACGCTGCTCAACGCCCAGCCATTCAATCACTGCAACAAAATTGAGTTCACGACGTCACTATTGATTTGAGAAGGATAATCACCTGTTTTTGGAGCTAAATGAACTCACCATTTATAGACGCGACAGGCTTTTATGTATTTCAGATTGAATCGGTACCAATATTAGAGTTTCGGTCTTTAAAGACTGACGCCCGGTTTCTGAAACACTGATCAGCATAGACGTCAACTAATCAGCTGTCAAATGGCTTTTCAAATTTCATTTTAGTTGCCAAAAGGATGGTTAAACTCTCTGAATTGACCAGAATGATCTTTAAAATTTGTAGAAAAAGTACGAAAAGATTGTCGCCGCTGTGGGTGTCGATTTTAATGTTCAATCTTAAGCGCAGAGATAAGCGCTATAAAAAATAAAAATTTAAATCTTCTTGATGATCAGAATGTTGACATCTACGATGATCAGTGTCTCAGAAACCGGGCGTTAGATGCCATAGACTTTAGATGATTCAAATATATGAAAGTAACAACTTATCATGGCATATATTGACATATTGTTTATTTATATCTTATCAATGTAAAATATTTTGACTTAATAACACTCATGCAAATCGGTATAGTGATCATTGAGTTACACAAACGGACTGACAGGCAAAGGGATCTTTTTTTTTATTATATGAATACTTTCTTTTCCGTTACTTCTAAATTACAAGTCATAATCATGCAAATAGGATAAGCGATCATTGAGTAACAAGCGCATAAAATCACTGACACTACAGACTAAGAGATGTCTTGTTTATAGTATGAAGGAATTAGTAAGTGTCGGAGTCTTTGCGAGAAACCGTTTTTGCGAAACCTCCATAATAAAACCATTCTTACTCACTTAGCACGAAACTTAGCGGGTAAACGCTCGCACCCAAGACCGTCTCTAGAAATTCGGCAACTAAGTATGCGGTGTAGGATCCGGCGAAGGACTTGCAAAGACCAAGCAGTCCAGCGCCGCTGCCGCTGACCACTAAAGCCGCCCGTCGTCCCCATCTAAAATGTACAGTACACAAATTATTATACGGAAAAAGGATTATATAGCAGCTTGCGAAAAATAACTACAGCTAAATTACGAATTATTTAAGAGTAGGAGGGTTTCTACAATTGTTGTCAGGCTTATTAATATCATGTTGCTTTTGGTAGCTGTTTGTAACTATAACTTCTAGAGAAAACTAATGAACATGACATATTTTAAAGAAGTTTAGACAATAACTCTAAGGTCCGCAAATTAGGGGGAATACCAAGATCTATTCAAGTTTTTTGACCTCTAAAGGAAACCTTTAGGCTGAACCTTAACGTTATGTATTGTCAATAGAAATTAGAAAAATAGTTCCGTCTCACTTGTCAGATATGTAGCCCATGATTGGCAGAGAGACCAGCATGCCGACGTTGTGCACCGTCCCCACCAAAGTGCGTTTGCCCTCTTGACAGGCCAGGTTGAACTGGAAAAGAATAAAAATAAAATAATAAACCAATAGAAAAAAAAATCGGATAATGAATTTGACGACCCGAATGGTGTAGTGGGTAGTGTACCTGCCTCCTGCGCCAGAAGGTATGGGTTCGATCCCCACTACTGGAAAAATATTGTGTGATGAACATAGTGTTTTTCTAGTGTCTGGGTGTATGTATAATATGTATTTATTTACAAAAGAAAAGTATGTTTAAGAATGTTTATCAGTTTTCTAGTACCCATAGTACAAGCTTTGCTTAGTTTGGGACTAGAGAATGTTGTGTAAAAATGTGTCCTAAAAAATAAGAAAAATAACAATAATAATCGTCAACGGTTGAACCATCAAATCGTAACCATATTTCTTAAAACAAAATATCTAAAAAAATACTATTATTTAAAATAAATAAACACAACATAAAGCCTCAATTTTGTTTAACCATATGCTGTCTCAAACTTATTTGAAATAAAATAGTCATTATCTCGCTGCTACCTTTTGAACTTCTCTTGCAAATTTTAACGTTTGCAAGTTCTCCAAAACAACCGTTAATACACCCATGAGCCCATTCATGGCCCTACCCAAACTTGAAAGGATGTCGTAGGTCCTGGCTAGCCCACAAGTTCAACGATCGATGAAGCTCTAATAGTCTACGGAATGAAAGCAAAAACATTAGATAAAGCAAAGTAAAACTGAACAAAATGTTATTAATTCATTGCTTCTGTGTCACTAATGATATGATCTTCTGAGTGTTCTTTTTATCTTTTTTTTTTTTAGTAAGAAGGTGTCGAGCGAACTGGCGGTCCACCTGTTATTAAATGCTATCCGCCGCCCATGGATATTTGCAAAACCCGTAGGGTTACAGATACTTTACAGTTTACAGATGCTTTAACACCTTTTAATAAAGTGGGCCCCGGTTACCCAAACAGACCACAAGCTGAAGTGTCTCTTTCACTACCCGCCAGTCTTCCAAGAGTTCGCGTAGCAGCGAAGACTTGCATATTGACCACAGCCAATCACACATATGACAGCGTAAAGGGGAGGGAAGAATTATCCGACTCCCGGATCCACTCCATAACCCGTACCTCAGCAACGATACTCCTCCTGTCCAAGTAGACGAAGCCGTCGCAGTGCACGCTGGAGGCGTTGTCGAAAGAGTCCTTTTCGCAAGCGCTGGCAATGGCGGTGCGGCGAGAGCAGACATCGTCGGGAAGCAGAGCGAAGTCAGTCCAGTCCGGTGACCAGCCCTCCATCGATACGGTCTTCAACGTGTCGTTATCCTCGCATTCAGATATGTGACACCTGGGGACAATACAGGGAGGCTTCTTTAAGTGTATACATTTTTTAAATTAAATTCTAGACATAAATAATGTTATATAATATATATATATATATATATATATATATACCTATATATACTCGTAATTAATTAAATACATCCATTTGAACTTATCTCAAAAGTGCGTGATTTATGGGCAACTCGTCTTTTTTACGCGCGATCATTCATAACTAACACACACACAAGTTCCTTTCAAAAGTATAAGACGCATTTATGAATGACTACCACATTGCCAACTAGTTCTGTTTTCTAAGGAATGGAATGGCAATTTTTTTAAGAAAAAAAGTTTGTTTTTATTTCAATAAACGATTATACTACCAAGTCTGACCTCCTGTGTGAATTTGGGCACCTTTAGAAAAGCCACTATACTCGTTCATACATGGCGCATTTGCCTTAAAGCCCAATAGGCCCGGGACTAGGGCGGCCACAGTATGTACTACGGGTGGCCAATCGTGACAAAAAATTCACTGACGTTAACAAGATATATATGGTGGGCGCTGAGAAAGGGGCGGCTGGAACTTACTACATAGGCTGGGGCCTAGGGCGGCCAAGACTACAAATCCGCCACTGCGTTCATACATTTTATGTGGATAGGTTTTGAAATTTATGTTTTTTTTATACGTCGACTTGTCTCACTTTTAATATCAAGCCAAGTATGAAATGGTTGCCTAGAAGAAATTTTTAAGCGATAAGGCCGCCATTTGTAAATTTGTTTTTTTTTTACTATTTATTTTTAATTCTGTGTCTTGTGTACAATAAAACATTCATTCACTTCATTAAGTTCATTCATTCACGAAGAGGCAAATGCTTCTCACGTTCTCTCGTTAACAAAATCCTGTAGTCTAGTTGTAATAAAAATATAAGCAATGATATTGTTGTCAAATGTCGCTAGATGACGCTATTAGTTGAGCGGATAATTTGTTAATTGCGGTGTAAAAATTTTTCGTAAATTAATGACTATATATACATATAGTTTTTCTTTTTTATGTGAATAAGTGCTTAACAAGCTGGCGGTTCACCTGATGTTAAGTGATAACCGCCGCCCATAGACATTTGCAACACCCGTAGGATTTCAAATGCGTTGCCACCTATAAATAAAGTGGGCCCCGGCTACCTCACTCACCAGTCGAAACGTAGAAGTGGAACACTTCTTCTTTACACCAGTCTTCTGTGAGGTCGTGGTACTTTTCCCGGACGGACCTGCCCATTCTTGCAACAGTGAACACTGTTGCGAGATCCTACCACACCAAAGAATGGAAAGAATCTAGATGAATTAAACAGATTTGACAGTGACGCGCGACCGCCATATGTAGTCTACTAACAAGTATATATATAAAATAATATATAATAATCCACCAAAGATCGCTGTCTTCTTCTTCTTTCTATCCTTATCCTACCTATGTAGTCGGCAGAACGTGCGAATCATGTTGTTTATGGTATTGGCTAGGTCTTTTTCGAACAGCCTGCCTGAGTTCAACTATCTATGAGAATATACTCACAGATCCGGAACAAATTATGTGAGTCGCACAAACACTTGTCCCGTGTGGGAATCGAACCCACGACCCCCGACGCCGAAGTGTGATTTAACAGCTGCCCCACCGAGTCATCGTCTCGCTATCTCAATATTGTAATCGACGATCAATGCACGAGTCGACTTCAAATAGGATTTAAAACGATCTGAAAGGCCTGGTGAAAGTGCGCTAATTGTGTTCACGTGATGTACGAAAGTGGCATAAGACATACTTCCGGTGAATGCCAGACGAGCACGTCTTAAGCGACTCAAAAGTTGTACATTCGCGGTCCAGGGTTCATGGATTAGATCGATATTATTTATCCAATGCCCAGAGCGGTTAAGCCAAGCCTAAGGTTAACTGTACTTGTCACATTTAATAACTGTCTGTATATTTGTTATTAAATTTTCATGTCCTTCAAAATATTAAAATGTGCAAAAGTAAAATAACAGCCTATATTTGTCCCACAGCTGGGCACAATCTACCGCGTGACCCCACTGAGGATTGGCGGACTTCACATATCTGCAAAATATTTTTCATGTTATATTATTTCGAAAATATGCAGCTTTTGAATATATTCACGATGTTTTGCTTCACCGCTGAGCGCGTGATAAGTCGGCATCGGGGATCGAACTCAGGCTGCTCAAGTGTACTGAATTAAAAGCGAGCCCCCGGAGACTGAGCTATCTCGGCTCTTAAAATGAGTAGGTAAAGACGGTTTCCCTACCACTATCTATAAAAACGGCAAAAAACGGTATGAGTGTTGTATGGGAGCCCACTTAAATGTTTTAGGGTTCCGTACTCAAAGGTTAAAACTAGTTACTAAGATTCCTTAAATATAAAATATAATACATGCGGGCGGAGCCGCGGGCGAAATGCAAGTGCCTAATATGTTAAACTGCTTGTCTTTTGCGATTTTTTCTAACATTACCGTGTCACTCTTTCTAAGAGATAATAAGGATTTTACTTTGAACAGCTCTTAATATCGATTTCATTTTTAATTTGTAGAATTGATTTCATTTAAAAAAGGGTTAAAGGGCAGATATCTTATAAACACGATGTAGGCTTGGACGGGTGTGTTTTTTTAAATTAATAAGCTTAAAAAATCTTCTTGCAAACTATGTTAGCAGTTACAACGACAGACCTACATGTATTTCGCTTTAGGTCTCCTTAATTTTTTTAAAAATATTTTTATTATTTAATATTTAACTATTTGGCTATTTTCGTTATTAGCGGCTACACATAATTCAAAATGTCTCAACCGTTGATTTTGATAAAGCGTGTCTGATGTATGGCTATCTCAAAAAATATATTTGCAAAGTATTATATTAGACTCATTATCATCATCATTTTTACTATTTTGACTCCTTTTTCGAACACGGCTTCCCCCAGACTACCTTCGTCATATGTACGTGAAATATTACAAATGTTGGATATTATTTGGCCAATATTTGCTCAGCTTGAACCACTCAGTGCTACTACCTACGTTCTACAATCTATAATAATGATATCCTATTGTTCCTAAACAAAAAATTGAATCAATCCTTAACCAAATGAAACAAAACCACTCGTTCTGAGCGCACCATCAAAACAGTTGATATGTGTCGCACATTGTCATCGTTAATTACAATTTTAATTACTTTTTGCTTAAACATAACCTATGTTTAAGCAAAAAGTTATTATACTTCATAACTGGATGCCTCATCAGTCACAAATAAACATTTTATCAAACACACACAGACAGTATAAAAACACACATATACATTTTTGTTGTTTTTAATCGATTATAATAACAAATGATGATGGAGTGACGACCTGTGCAAATGTGCGGGAAGTCGATGGATGCAGGTGGCTCAGGATCGTATTTCATGGCAGTCTATGGCGGAGGCCTATGTTCAGCATTGGACTCAAACAGGCTGAAATGATGATGATGATAATAACAAAAATATGATTTATAAGTGTTTCTATTTATACAAAATCGATCCAAGTAACATTTGAAGATCTTACTCACTATATATTTTCTATTTGATTTGGAGCTGTTCCCTGATGCATCCAAATAAATTTTAATATCTGTATCAGATCCTACTCCTTTTTTGAATTCGGTTGAAATTGCTTTTTGGTGATTATCATAAAAGATTTATGAACTTTAAGTATATTTAAAACGTGTATTGACTTTCTTAAAGTTAAAGAAGGAATGAACATATTATTATTATTTTTAATTTATATACACAAAATCCGCCGATATAGAGTGATTTAAAAAGCATAAAATTGTTTACAAATAAATGATAATGGCACTACGTTTACCGAATTGATTGCCGTTAATGCAAAAAAAATGATTGGATTAGAGCGGATCGGTTGCCGCCATTATTTAACAATAAACTTTTTTTCGTGCAAAACGGTAAGGTTTTTTAAAGTGTTGTCATTTTTTAGACTTAACGGATGGTCGACCGCAAGTTCAAGGCGAGAGATTGTACGATGGAGGAAAATTCAGAGAAAGGGGAGCAAAAACAACAACAAATGAACAAAGCAAGCACGCGCCCACGCGGCCGAATCGCGTGAACTTAATTCTTTTTTTTTTTTTTCAATCATTTAAAATAAAGTACAGTCAACCAGCAAAGAAATAATGTGTCACAGATATATTTCTTTTTATTTATATTCTACACAATATACCGATGATGTTGTAAATAAAATCTTAATATGAATAGTTTTATCGCAAAATTATTTGTTCCATATTTGCTCAAGAATAAACTTCGGACCGAAAAACTTTAATGGATAATGAAATAGGTAATTGATAGATAATGGACGATAGATGGATACATATATCCCTTCCAGTATATATGTATAATCTATGGTATTTATTAAGTTACAATTTTATTTATTATTTAATATAATTTTATTTATTTATACTTTATGCACACAAAATATGTACAGAAGCGGACTTCATGCCATCGGCATTATCTACCAGTCAACCTTTTTCACGGTAGAGAGTAGACCCCCACCGGCTAAAGGACCATTAAAGAAGTTAAAAGACAACCAATTAGCTCTTGGTCACAACGCACGAGTGGAAAGGTCAGCAGATAAGCCAGACAAGAAGTTCTTGGTTTGAACTGGTACGTTCCAGAATTACTTAGCCTTCTAGAGTATGTAAAACTACCTCCTTGCAAAAGAACTTTGTCATTTCTGGATCGTTAAGCTATCGACGGTAAAACAAAGTCATAGAGTCAAATCTCATACTGAGCAAGCAACTCTACAACATAGGGTTATCGGGATTATTGATTTAGTTCATTATTGTAAATTAACATTAATGAATGGTGCTTTTGATTCCCGCCCTAGGCAAGAAACTGTACTACCTACTGGTTATTGTTTACAAAACGCTACGAGGCAATGGATATCAAGGAGGAACAGAATTGATAAGAGTTAACGGGTAGCGAGGTAACGGACCCACTGTTGTA